ATCCCTGTGAGGTCAAGGCCAGCCTGGTCTACATAGTGAGTTCCAGGACAGCTGGGGCTACAGGGAGACCCTGTCTCAAAAAAAACAAAACAAAAAAAAATTCTTTGCCATAGGATATCTGTGAAGGCAAGCAGCAGTGACTGGTCCTTTTTTTCTTCTGAGTCAGTGTATGTTTGGTAATACAAAGTAAGCTATTTTTTTGTGTTCTGTACCAGCATTCATCACAGAGCCTTGCAAAGACTAGGTTTTCAGTAATTTTGACTTGAGTTAAAATTGTTAGAAATAAAGTCTGAAGTCCAAGGATGCCACCAAGACCGCACAAAGAACACGCAAGGCAGATTTTACTTTTGCAAAAAGGGTGTGCTGTGTGGTCAGTCACATCTAGCAAGTACACAGGACCCGGAAGCTTGATACATTTTTACTCCTAATGCAAGAAACAGGGTTGGACCTCACAGTCTTTCCCAGTTGACTAGTTTAAAAGAATCTGTACAAGGGGCTGGAGAGATGGCTCAGCGGGTAGGCTCACTGACTGACTGTTTTTGCAGAAGACCCAGGTTCAAATCCCAGTACTTGTATGGCAGCTACAGCCATCTATAACTCCAGTTCCAGGGGATCTGATACCCTCTTCTGACCTCCCTGGGCATTGCACAACACAGGTGCACTTACACACATGGAGGCATAATACTTATAAAATAAAAAATAAATAAAAAGAAAAAAAAATCTGCACAAAGGAAGGGGGAAGAGCTCCATTGTCCCAGGCCATTAGATAAGACAAAAGTCTTACAGGGTGTGGTGTGATTAAAAGATTAGAATTCCTTGTCATAAACCAAGTTTTACAGGGTTTGAAAGAAAAGACTAATTTTTCACATTTCTTAGAAAATGATGAGGGGGGTGGTAGGGGGCAGAAGCATGATTGCTCTTCTGGGGAGAATATTTCAAAGGTTGGCACCTCCGAAGCTCCAGGAAGTCAGTACACAAGATCTTAAGATACAGAGTAAGGACATTGACTTTGGACTGCTGATGGTGGGGAGGGGGATATTCATGAACTAAGTGGGACCCTTGGCAAATTTTGCTCTTATTTGACTGGACAGATGGCTCAGCGGTTCAGAGCACGGGCTGCTTTTGAAGAGGACCTGGGTTCGATTCCCAGCACCCACATGGCTAACAACCATCTGTAACTACAGTTCCAGGGGATCTAATGCCCTCTGACCTCTGCAAGCATTGCACAACATGGGTGGACTTACATGCAGGCAATACACTCATACACATTTTTTTTTTTTTGGTCTTTTTGAGACAGGGTCTCCCTGTAGCCCCAGCTGTCCTGGAACTCACTACGTAGACCAGGCTGGCGTTGAACTCACAGAGATCCGCCTGCCTCTGCTTCCCAAGTCCTAGGATTAAAGGCATGTGCCACCATGCCCTGCTTCATACACATTAAAAAAAAAATTTTAAGTTGGTAACTTGCCAGTTCTGATGTTATTTGCTAATATCAAATTCTGCCATTCATACTCAATCTGAACACCCACAGATTTGTGTGGTGTTTGTGCCTACACATTTCTATTACTTTCCATTATCTTTTAAAAACCACTTCAGCATGCCTGTGTTATATTGGTTGCACAATTTTATATGACTGAATACAAATATGAAAGGAAACAGAACAAAAACAGCAACGATTTAGGCAAAGCTATTTATAATTCTTCATTATAGTGGCTCATTGTCTTCAGGAAAAGGTCAGATTATCTTGTATATTGGTAAATACAAAGAGCCTTTCCAAGGAAAATGTAGTAACACTTAAAGCTCTTCTAACCAAGATGCAGTGTAAATGCAAAATGCAACATAATTATCACTGGGCAGAGGACAGTTAGGATTCTTCCTTACTGCATGACCTTAAAATAAGGTACAGGGCATGTAAAAATGGAGTGAAGCACAGCTACACTCAAGATTAAATCAAGGCAGGGAGTTTTTCCTCTTGAAAGCCCTGTGTTTCTGTCTTAGGAAAGTGAAGGGAGTTTGTGGCAGATTGCATTGGTCCCGTTTGACAGCCCTCTGTCTTTTGGAGTCAGAAATATGTCTAGCCCCACCCCCAGAGGAATCATGATCATCTAAGCTAATCATGGCCATCCCAGCCTTCTTTGCCAGTTTCTTGGATTATCTTTCTGCTCTGGCTAATGAGATGTAATGGAAAGTTCCTGTGACAAAAATGACACAAAATTTAAGGCAGGGTCTCATGTAACCAGGCCTTTAACTTGCTATGTAGTCAAAGATGATCTTGAACTTTGATCCTCTTGCCTCTACTTACAGAGTGCTGGGATTATAGGTATGTGCTACCATCATGCCCATGCTGAGCTGGGGTGAAACCTATCTACCACTGAGCTATCACCAGCCTGAGAATTGTTTGATTTCACAGTTAAAGAAGCAAAGCAAGATAGTCCTTCCTTCCTTTCTGTTTGGGTGAGGACTTGATGGAGAGGCCAAGAAAGTCTGAGAAACAACACTTAGGCCTCCATCACAGAGCTTTTCGCCAGGCTCTGGAACCCAGCACTTTCTCAGTGGCTCCCTAGACAGCTCTTGTATTTATGGTAACTTTTTCCCTGTTAGGAAGGCACTGCTTCACAGCTTTCTAATTAAATTGAAAGTTAACAGAAGAAAATTGCCTTGTGAAAAGATTAAAGTCAATACAACTTAAATACAGTGGTTTATTTCTGACATTTCTTAGAGCACTTACTCCCAAGAAAACATTGCTCTCAAAACCATGGCATTGGAATGGCAGTCATAAACAGCTTTTTGTCTATTCCATTTCACGTAGCGAAGCCAACATCCACCCATTTGATCATTCAGAAGGTCATCCAGTGAACTAATTGTTTGGGGTTGGGGGTTGCAAGTGCCAGATGCCCCTACTTGCTGGGAATAAAGATATACCCTGGGACTTCTGCCTTGTGGGTACAGAGATGAAACAAATATTCCTCCAGAAATTCATGACAGTTGAGATTGCTGCAGCCAAGTTGCCCTGAGAGTAACTGTAAGATGGGAGTAGGGATGCTGGCAGGATCCCAAAGTGTCTTCAAGGGAGGAACACGTAAGCAGAGCCACCATCTATTCTAGTTGACTGCAGGAATAGTCAGTATTCTTCAGATTAGGAAGAAGAGTAGTAGGGAGGGCAAGGGGACACCCAGAGATGTGGGCAGTAGAAATGATGGCACTTAGTAATTAATGACATGAAGGCGTGGTTGGGGTCAAGGAGGACTCATAGGACCTGGCTTGGGCTACCTGGTGGATGGAGGTACATTAGTGCGTTCAACGCAAAACCATTTTCTGCCACTTTCTGTTTCCTAGACCTTTTCCTGTCTTGTCCTTAAAAAAAGTGGAGTGTATTTCTCTTTTCAATTTGGGCTGGCCTCATGGTTTGCTTTGGTCAACAGAATGCAGCACAGGTGATGGGTTCTGCCTGACAGCCTAGTCTCAAGAGGCCTTGCTCACTTCCACTCGCTCCCTTGGAACTCTGCTCAGCATCTACGAGTAACAAGCCTTGCCCATCTGCTGGGTGAACCAGCATCAGCTGCCAGACTGGACTGAGTCTGTGGTGGAACAACCCAGGCCTATCCTTTCCCTAGGGCTAGGAGGTTCTCTGCTACTGCCTCAAAGAGCTCAACCAAGCTCATCAAAGCCTGGCCTAGATCACAAACAGGAGTGATTTTTACCCCTAGCCATTAAGTTCTCTATGGTTCGTGGGGCCATGGAAGCTACCTGATAAACTGGGATAGAGGGAATGAATGAGGGTGTGGCTGTCTAGTAGGCAGTTGGACAGATGAGGCTGGACCATAGGAGGCCAGAGGCTTGAAGGTCTTCTCACAAGGCCTTGCTTTGGTGAGATCCAAGAACCAGGTTATATTTATCTTCTGACCACTCTTCCTCCCAATCCCTACCTAAATTCTACCAGGCACCTAAAAGTAAATGAATAATGAAGTAGATGCTCACCTCAGGTGCACAGGGCAGTGTGTATGATGGGAATTAGTGAAGCTGCAGGTGGAATGCTCTGAGTTTTATGAGTCAGTTTACCCCATACCAATTACAAAAGGGAATGGCTGGGTTTGGATGCTGAGCTGCAGACTATGACAGCCAGCCCCCTAAAGGATTCACATGTAAGTGACTGCAAGTACCTTGAGTGACACTAAATTTGTAAATTAGGGTCGTTACCTTGCCCTCTCCCTTTCCACAGTAATGTCACCCCTCAGTTCCTTTTGGGTGGTTTGTTTGTTTTTGTTTGAGACAGGGTCTCATGTAGCCCAAGCTGGCCTTGAACTCAAACTTGATATGCAGTCAAGAATGACCTTAAATTTACAATCCTCCTGCCTCTGCTTCCTGAGTGTTAGGATTACAGAAATGTGTCACTACCATGCCCAGTTTAGGTGGTGCTTGAGATCAAACCCAGTGACTCCCTTCAGCACTTAAAAACTATTTATTTTTATTTTATGTGTATGAGTGTTTTGCCTGTATGTATGTAAGTGTACCCATAAGTGCAGTGCCCACTGTCAGATAAGAGCACCAGATCTCCTGGAACTGGAGTTAAAGATGGTTGTTAGCCATCATGTGGGTGCTGGGAACCGAACCTGGGTCCTAGGCAAGAGCAGCCAGTGCTCTTAACCGCTAAGTCATCAGCAACGCCCCCATCAGCACTTTTTGAAAATAAAAAGCACAAAATTTGAATCTATTCCTCTCATTGTTACAAAACATCCAACCTTTCCTCTTTCTCGGTTCCTACTCCAATCTCAGATACACCCTCAAGGCTAGTGACCCAGGTTGGCTGCTGCAGTGGAGATGCAGGCAGGACTGGCAAGGCACAATTTGAGCAGACGCGCTCCACAGGCGGTAGCCGCGGGTTGCAGGGTCCCTGGGCCTGCCGAGAGCGTCAAGCAGCGAGGCGGTGAGCACGTTCGCGCATGACAGTCCCCCTGGGCTCGCCGTGCTCCCCCCACTGAGCAGCGCTCGCGGAAGGGGAGGGGAAAGGAGGAGCTGGGGGCGGCCCCGCGCGTCCCAGAGCTCCCAGCTCTTTAAAAGCCGACGGCCTTGACAACTCCGCTGGCCGTGCATCCCGCCGCCCGGTGTCCACGCGCTCCCACCTGCAGCCAGCTCTCGGTGCCAAGAGGCCGGGACGCTCCGCCAGCAGCGCGATCCCAGACGCGCCCATGCGGCCGCCCATCATGTCCGGGCACTTTCTGCTCGCGCCCATCCCGGAGTCCTCCTCCGACTACCTCCTGCCCAAGGACATCAAGCTGGCGGTGCTGGGCGCCGGCCATGTGGGAAAGAGCGGTGAGTGCGGCGCGGCCACGGCGCTTTCCCATTCCGGGGTCCTGCGGGAGGGAGGGCAGCGGCGCGGGAGGACCCCGTCACCCCGGCTCCAATCGCTGGCCACTACGGTCCCCCGGGCATCCAGACCTCGGCCCCGGCCGCAGTTGGCGCCGGTGGAAGGACAGGGTTGCGAGAGTCGTTCCAGTCACTTCCATCACAGCCCTGCGGAGGCCACTATGCGGCGCCCCGGGCTCTAGGTCAGAGTGCGCGCTGTTCCCACGGGTGACCGAGTTTGACCTCCTTGTCCTACTTCTTAAGTTGATTTTCTTACTTTTTCAGCAATGATTGTGCGCTTCCTGACCAAGAGATTCATCGGCGACTATGAACCGAACACAGGTTAGCCTGGTTTTAATACCTGCTTTTGTACTCGCTTGTTTCTTTTTCTTTCCCCTTTCCTGCTCCGAGCGTGGGAACTTAAACACAAACTCTCCTTCATTCTCTAGGCAAACTGTATTCCAGACTCGTTTACGTGGAGGGGGACCAGCTATCCCTACAGATTCAAGACACCCCAGGAGGCATCCAGGTAAGGACTGCCCTGGAGCAACGACTGACCCCTGCCAGAGGGTGTCTGTTTGGGGGCGGGAGCATCATGTAACTTGGAAGCGATTGGTTCCCGGTCCTGAGTAACATGTTTCATCCAGTGTATTTAAATGTAAGAGTTGGCTGTCCACAGGTGGAGCTGAGACTTGGAAGCTCTCCAAGGAGGGAACGCTTAGGCGCGCGCGCGCGCCCCCGTGTGTGTGTGTGTGTGTGTGTGTGTGTGTGTGTGTGTATTAAAGTATTAAAGATAGGGTCTTGTTATGTAGTCCCTGCTGTTCTAAATTTGCCTGAAATCTTTACTACCTCAACCCCCTAAATTCTGGGATTACAGGATAACCTACCCCGACTCCACCCCCCAGACTGGCGATTCACTCGAGCTTCTCTTGCAGCTTTTGACTGACCATGCCTCCTCAGCCAGCTTAGACAGGAAACAGCACTTTCAGAGTTCACCCAGGAACAGTTTAAAACCAACAGCCCTGGGGCTGGGGGTGTAGCTCATTGTTAAAGATCATGCACAGGCCCTGAATTCAATTCTCAGTACCACATTTAAAAACAAAATAAAACAAGCTGGGGCGTGGTGGTGCACACCTTTAGTCCCAGCACTTGGGAGGCAGAGACAGTCAGATCTCTGTGAGTTCAAGGCCAGCCTGGTCTACATAGTGAGTTCCAGGACAGCTGGGGCTACAGGGAGACCCTGTCTCAAAAAAACCAAAAACAACAACAAAAAAAACTGCCAGGCATGGTATTCCACGCCTTTAATACCAGCACTTGGGAGGCCAAGGCCACCAGAGATTGAGGTTGGCCTGGACCACATAGTGAGTTCCAGATCAGCTGGAACTTCAGGGAGACCCTGAAACAAAAACAGAACAGAACAAAAACCAAACAAATAGGTGAATGCTTGTGGGAGAGGGTTTGCTTCCTGGGCAGGACTACCAAAGTGTTTCCAAGTCAGTAACTGCAATCAGATAGCCCCTTGGCTAGCAGTCTGGAATGTAACTTAACTAATTGCTACATCCTTCTAGGGAGGAAAGGTCATATGGAAGAACCCAAAGAAAGGAATTTGTTTCTGTAACATTCTCAAGAAGTTGACTGTTAAAAATATTTTTATGGGTTTGGGAATAGATATTTATCTTGGCTTGTTTTCAAAGTTTTGTTTGTTATGAATTAGCTCCCTAAAAACTGAGCCATTCTGCTTTGCAGTTATTCCAGTCAGCCAAGTTCACTAAAGACCTCCTGTTAAGCAGGGGGGTTAAAAATATGTATTCATAACTGCCCATAAAGTAATCCAGGCTGGGCATTTGTCTGAGACTTTGCACCTTCCCTATCAAAAGCCTCTTGCAGAAACTGGGTAGAACCTGAAAACTAAATTTAGCTATTTCTCTGTTGGGTGTTTCTTCAAGGGGTACTTTGATGTCATATTTGAGCTTCTTGCTTACTGAGAGCTTCCTTGACCAGGTCCCATTTTGATCTTTCTCAGACCCAAGACAACCTCAGCAACACAGTTGATTCTCTGTCCAAGTGCATGCAGTGGGCTGAGGGCTTTCTGCTGGTCTACTCCATCACAGACTATGACAGTTACCAGTCTATCCGGCCCCTTTACCAGCACATCCGGAAGGTCCATCCTGACAGCAAAGCCCCTGTCATCATCGTGGGGAACAAAGGAGACCTTCTGCATGCCCGGCAGGTGCAAACACATGATGGTCTTCAGCTAGCCAATGAGCTGGGTAGCCTGTTTCTTGAAGTTTCTACTAGTGAAAACTATGAAGACGTCTGTGATGTGTTTCAGCATCTCTGCAAGGAAGTGAGCAAACTCCACAGCCTCAGCGGGGAGCGGAGAAGGGCATCTATCATCCCGAGGCCTCGTTCCCCCAACATGCAGGACCTGAAGAGGCGCTTCAAGCAGGCTCTGTCTTCTAAAGTAAAAGCCCCCTCCACCCTAGGGTGACCCATCTCAAACAGACCAATGTCTTTTTTATTATTGCATTTGTGCAGCTACAAAGACTGGGCCTTTCCCTTTTAAAACACATTCAGAGTTTATTTTTATAATGACTTTATTGGCTTTCAAGTGTATGTGTATTTCTGAAAATTCAAACAGTCATTAACTAGAAGTTTTTTTAAATAAGTTTTTTTTTTTTTTTACTGTAACTGTTAGCCACTTTTCCATTAAAGGCAAAATGGCAACATTGCTTCTTGTTTCCTAAATGTCTTTTTATAGAAATCATACTTGCACCAGAGCCTAGAACTGCTCAGTGCTTGCCTTCAGTCTGAACTCTGATGGGTGTCTTGCAGTGGGAGGGGGTCATACAGAGGGAGTCTGCTGTGGGAGAAAGGGAAGCATGCAGAGGAGGAAAGGGATTTGAATAACTGCAGGATATCTTTAATTAGGGCATTCTCCATCATCATGAAGCTTGACACTGGTTTTCCAGCAAAACAGTACATTGGGAACTAACTTCAAGACATTATAAATTATCAGTATTATTTACTATTTGTACAAATGTAAGTACAGCCTCTTTACTTATATTTTTAAAAAAGAAAAGCCCATCTAGACTTAGTGGTACATGCCTGTAGTTCTAGCATTCAGGGGGCTGAGACAGAAGGAGCACAAGTTCTAGACCATCGTAGGCTATATGATGAGACCCTGGCCAAAAAACAAAAACAAAACAAAACTAAACTAATGGTTAAGGATGTAGCTCAGCGGTAGAATGCTTGCTGTGCTCAAGCCCTGGGTTTGATCCCCAATATTCCTCTTCCCCTAGAAAGAAAGAAACCCTCCTTCTTTAGGATTATTTTTTAACTTTATGTGTATGAGGGTTTTGCCTGATTGTATATAAATACACCATGTGCATGCAATGCCCTGAAGGCCAGAAGAGGGTGTTGGATACCCTAGAACTGGAGTTACTGATGATTGTTAGCTGGACCTAGGTCCTCTACAAGAGCAGCCAGTGCTCTTAATCACTGAGTCATCTCTCCAGCCCCCTCTCCAGGATTCTTTATGTCAGTAAGCAAATTTTGCCATTCAAGAGTGGGCTCCATTCTCCTTCCCTTCCTGTTTCCCTGACTCCCTGAATTATATGATGGAAAAAAGGAGATGATCAAAGTATGATTTCATGAACCAAAGAACACTTTTGAGTGCTTACAGAGGGGGAGAAGAATATGAACAAATTTCACAGTGAACACACTCTGTAGATGAGGGGTATTAGCCATATGGGGAGCTTCAAAGTTATTAAAGTCTCATCACAATCAGAATGGAAGCCACTGGCTGGCCTTTGGAGAAAAATCTAAAGTTTAAGAAGTATCTTGTTTGGGGAGGTCCTGGGAATTGAACTCAGGGCCTCACACTCTATCACTGAGCTACACCCCAGCTCCTGAAATGTATCTTTATAGATGTGCTTTTTAGGGAGATGCTGGCTTGACCACCACAGTGGACATTGAATCAAATGAGGTCACAGTAGTGGAGGGAGGCATAGGTATTGGAGGGTCAGCTTAACTCACATACAGAGTCTGTGAGTTTGTTGGAACATTCCTGGAGGGAGAGGGAGCTCCCTTCAAGTTCTTATCTGTGGGGTCTGGTCAGATGTTACACTTAAAGGGAGGAGGAACACTCTAAACACAAACATCATGGAGCAAGTTATGTGTGTGTCTAGAATCATTTCAAGCTAAATAACACCTTCCATTCTGTAAGGCGCAGATCTATCAGCACAGTCTGCTTTTCTCTAAACGTCCACCTATGCTTATATCCAGGCATTTATAGCCCTCTAGACCAGCAGCCAAGAAGCAAGGCAAGCATATTTCCCGAGCCTCTAGAATATCTAATTCTTCCTACACCAGTTCTTCCTATAGCAGCCTTACATCAGTTCTTGTTTTATTTTCATGATGGAAAACACTTAACTGGTTTCCTCTTATTTATTATATAAAACGTAAATGAGAAATGGCCTAAAGATTATCACATCTCCAGTTTCATTAACACACACACACACACACACACACACACACACACACACCCTCTCAACTGACAGTCTATCCAACAGTACTGTCTGCCTTTCTCAGTCTACTCCAAGGCCTTCCATGCCTCCCTGCCTTGGCACAAACTATCCCTTGGCCTCAAATACTTTCTCCTAGTCTCTAGTTAAGGGCTCAGTAACTTGCCTTCCAAGATTCAAGTCATATGCTACGTGCTAGTTCGTCATCTCTGGGAGCTTTTTCTGAGTTTCCCTCTCTCTGTGTACCATCTGTGTTCTAATCCAATGGAATCAGAACACCCCCACTGCAACGAGTGCCTCCAAGGGCAGTAACTGCATTTTATGACTTTGTATTCCCAGCTTCTAGTTCAGTGATTACGCTTAGAGCAGTAGGTTCTTTTGTGTTGTTTTGTTTTGACAGGATCTCATGTAACCCAGGCTGGCCTTGAACTGGATATATATCCAGCTGAGCATGACCTTGAACTCCTGATCCTTCTGTCTCCACCTTGTGAATGCTGGGATAACAGGAATATGCCACCACACCCAGCTTTGTGTAGTGCTGGAGAGTAAACATAGCATGCAGGCAAGCACTCTACCAACTGAGGTACGGCCCCTGAGAACAGCAGTTTTTTAGTAAACATATGATGAATGAATGTGTCAAGGGAGAATAATAGGAAATTGTGATGGAACAAAGGATGACTTCTGCAAAATGAAGACAGAAGGTGTTTTCAGTAATTTTCACTAACAGTGACAGAGTATCACTGATAGCTTAGCTTCTCGTGACTGCAGCCTGCGTCAGGCAGCTTTCCATCACTGTGACACAATTCCATAGAAAGTCAGCTTAAAAGGAGGAAAGATTTTTATCTTGACTGACGGTTTCTGAAGTTTTAGTCCATGGCCACGTGCCCTATTGTGTTAGACCTGTGCTGAGACAGAACATCATGGCAGGAACCCATGGTAGAGTAGAGCTTCACATTTTATGGTTGTCAGGAAACAGCAGGTGAGAGAAAAGGGGACTGGGATCCCAATATTCCCCTCAGGAACATGCCCCCCAGTGACCTAGCTTCCCTCCACAAGGCCCTACCTCCTAAAGTTCCCATCACCTTCCGAAAGGGCTACAGGCTGCAACCAGGTCTTCAACACGAGGCTTTAGAGGACATTCTAGATCCAAACTACTTAACACCATTACTTTTCCATCCAACGACACCACCACCCAGATCTGCAATACAAAGAGTAGTCCACCTGGACAAAATGACACAAAGGATTAAGAAAACTCAGCAGCTAGCAAGATGGCTCAGTGGTTAAGAGCACTGGCTGTTCTTGTAAAGGACCCAAGTTTGGTTCCTAGCACCTATATGGAAGCTAACAACCATCTCTAAATCTAGTTCCATGCCCTCTTCTGATTTCCATGGACATTGCATGACATGGATGCACTTACATACATGCAAACAATACACTCATACACATAAAATAAAAATAATAAATAAGAGAGCCGGGCATGGTGGTACACACCTTTAGTCTTAGCATTTGGGAGGCAGAGGCAGGCCTGGGTCAAGACAGTCTACAA